AAAAAAACAAAAACAAAGAATCAGCTCTTGGCTTCGTTGATCTGTTGTACTGTTCTTTGTTTGTTTGCTTCAGTATCGATTATTTCTGCTCTAAGTTTTATTATTTCCCTTCTTCTGCTAGCTTTAGGCTTTATTTGCTGTTCCTTTTGTAGCTCCTTTAGGTGTAATGTTAGGTTGTGTATTTGAGACTTTTCTTGCTTCTTGAGATAGGCCTGTATTGCAATATACTTCCTTCTTAGGACCACCTTTGCTGCATCCCAAAGGTTTTTGGACTGTCATGTTCATGTTTTCATGTTCATTTGCTTCCATGTATTTTTTTTTTAACGTCTTCTTTAATTTCCTAGTTAACCCATTCATGTAAGATGTTCTTTAACCTACATGTATTTGTGGTCTGTCCAAATTTTTTCTTGTGGTTGGCTTCAAGTTTCATAGCATTGTGGTCAGAAACTATGCATGGTATGTCTCAGTCTCTTTGTACTTGTTGAGGACTGATTTGTGACCCAGTATGTGATCTATCCTGGAGAATGTTCCATGTGCACTCAAAAAGAATGTGTATTCTGCTGCTTTAGGATGGAATGTTCTGAATATATCTGTTAAGTCCATCTGGTCCAGTGTGTCATTCAAAGCCCTTGTTTCCTTGTTGATCTTCTGCCTATGTCCATTGCTGTGAGTGGGGTGTTAAAGTACTATTATTGTATTATTGTCAGTGAGTTTCTTTATGTTTGTTGTTCACTGATTTATATTTGGGTACTTGCAAGTTGGGAGCATAAATATTTACAATTGTTAGATTTTCTTGTTGGATAGACCCCTTTATTGATATAGTGCCCTCCTTCAGCTCTTGTTACAGTCTTTGGTTTAAACTTTAGTTTGTACTCTGGCTTTCTTTTGATGTCCGTTAGCATGATAGTAGATGGTTCTCCATCCCCTCATTTTCAATCTACAGGTGTCTTTAGGTCTAAAATGAGTTTCTTCTCTCTCTCGTTCTTTCTCTCAAATAAGTAAATAAAATAATTTTTTTTTAAAAAGGGTGCCTGGGTGGCTTAGTTGGTTAAGCATCTGTCTTCAGCTCAGGTCATTATCCCAGGGTCCTGGGATGAGTCCCACATTGGGCTCCCTGCTCAGCGGGGAGTCTGCTTCTCCCTCTCTCTCTGCCCCTCCTCCCTGCTTGTGGTCTCTCTCACACTTGCTCTCTCTTTCTGAAATAAAATAAAATCTTTAAAAAATATATAAATTAATTAATTAAATGAGTCTCTTATAGGCAGCATATAGATGGGTCTTATTTTTTTATCCATTCTAATACCCTGTGTCTTTTGATTGGAGCATTTAGTCCATTTACATTCAGATTATTGATGCATATGAATTTAGTGCCCATTGTGTTAGCTGTAAAGTTGGTGTTTCTGGTGATGTTCTGTCTTCCTTTCTAGTCTTTGTTGCTTTTGGTCTTTTTTTTCCCCCACTCAAAGAATCCCCTTTAATGTTTCGTGCAGGGCTGGTTTAGTGGTCACAAACTCCTTTAGTTTTTGCTTGTCTTGGAAACTCTTTATCTCTCCTTCTATTCTGAATGGCAGCCTTGCTGGATAAAGTATTCTTGGCTGCATATTTTTCCCATTCAGCATGTTGAATATATCATGCGAGTCCTTTCCGGCCTGCCAGGTTTCTGTGGATAGATCTGCTAGGACCCTGAAATGTCTTCCCTTATAGGTTAAGGACATTTTTCCCTTGCTGCTTTCAGGATTCTTTCCTTGTCTGTGTATTTTGTGAATTTGACTGTGATATGTCTTGGTGATAGCCAGCTTTTGTTGAATTCAATAGGAATTTTCTGTGCTTCTTGGATTTTGATGTCTGTTTCCTTCCCCACATTAGGGAAGTTTTCAGCTATAATTTGCTCAAATAAACCTGCCCCTTTTTCTCTTTCTTCTTCTCTGGGACTCCTATGATATGAATGTTACGCTTTGAAGAGTCACTGATTTCCCTAAGTCTACATTCATGATCCAATACTTTTCTTTCCCTCTTCTTTTCAGCTTCATTATTTTCCATAATTTTATCATCTACATCTATATCCTGTGCTTATCCATCCTTGTTATCATCACATCCAGTCAATTTTGCATCTTGATTATAGCATTTTTTACTTTGGCCTGACTAGTTTTTCAGTTCTTTTCTCTCTGCAGTAAGGGATTCTCTGGTATCTTCTATGATTTTCTCAAGCCCTGCTGGTATCCTTATAATTGTTGTTTTAAATTCTCATTCAGGCATCTTCTATCTCTTTTGATTAAATCCCGGCTATAACTTCTTCCTATTCTTTCTTTTGGGGTGAATTCTTCTGTCTTGTCATTTTGTCTAGGTCACTGTTTTTTTGTGATTGTTAGGAAAGCCTGTTATATTCCTGCTCCTGAGAGTAATGGCTATATTGAGAAGAGGTGTTCCCCCGCCCCCCCCCACGCAAAAAAAAGAGGTCCTATACTGTCTTGGGCCTAGAGATTCAGGAGGTGTTTCAGAGTGTGCACTCTGCTGTTGTGTTTTGTCTGCTCCTTCCCTCAGGTCAGTCCTCTGCAGTTTCTCCTTGCCTGCAGTGAGGGGTGTTTGGACCTTGTCCAGTGTGTGGCAAGTTTTAACTAGCTGTGTTTTGGCCTGCTTGTTATAAGCAGCTAGATCCAGGGGCACCTGGGTGGCTCAGTCAGTTAAGCATCTGCCTTTGGCTCAGGTCATGATCCCGGCGTCCTGGGATCGGGCCCCACGTCGGGCTCCCTGCTCAGCGGGGAGCCTGCTTCTTGCTCTCCCTCACCCTCTCCCCCTGCTTGTGCTCTCTCTGTCAAATAAATAAAATTAAAAAAAAAAAAAAAAAGGTAGATCCTATTTCCTCTAGAGCTGAAGTTTTGCAGCACTTTGTGATCTGTAGACTTGGTGCCTGTAAAGGATCTGTGCTGGTTTAGGGTGGGGCCTGCTGTGCTGCAGGCCCATTTGCCCTAGTGGAAATGTACCTCCAGGGTTTGGTGGGGCCAGAGCTTGGTGAGCTTGGTGAGCTTGGTGAGCTTGGTGTAAGTGGCTTCAGCCTCCACTGGGTGGCACTGTGTTGCTCTCTGAAGTCCGTCAGTGCTGGTGGGCGAGGGAGAAAATGGCCTTGCCCTGCTCGCTCTCCTGGAGCAGGGAGTTCGCACCAGCACTCTTCAGATGAGCAAACCATCACCCCTCTTGTGTCCCCGGCTTCCGTCAGATCCCTGCCATCACCCTGTTTGTATCTGAGCTGTCTGCGTACTAGACAGCACAATACTCCTGTGTTTTATCTCAGGCACATGGCTGTTTCAGAACTCCAAATTTTAGGGATCCACATGGCACAGACCCACGCTGATCCTCTTGGGGAAGGTCTCGCCACGCTAGCTGGTTCTGGTTTGTCCCAGAAAAGCAGTCGCACAACCACACGGCGGTTTATGGTAAAGCGCAGCTAAAAGCCAGCACCCAGGTTTGTTGCCCTCAGCTGGTGTCTCTGTTCCTACATAGGGAACAGGGACGCACCTCGGCGCCACTAGTTCTTCTGTCACCAGAAAGGCCATGCCACCGCTCCCAGATGCACTCCAAAAAGGGGACCAGGGGATCCTCAGACCACGCCTCCCACTTCCAGGTCTCCACCCTCCTTTCCCACCAGAGCAGCACTAAGCCCGCCAGGCACAACCCCATCGATGGCAAGAGCTTCTAAAACTTCAGACTTCGGGCTTCGCTGCTTATAAAAACTAGCAGTAGTCAGCCCCTCTCCTTTTCCCAGTCACTGGTTTTGGGGAATAGGTTTTGTTTTTGTGCAATCCCCTGCCTGCTGCTTTTCTCTCTCTCTCCCCCCCCACTTCTCTCCCCATGATCAGGGCTCCCTCCCTTCCGCAGCACCCCCAGCTTTTCTCTCCCCCAAATCAACTCTCCACAGCTCCTACCTTCCATGAGATGGTTTTTTCTACCTGTAGATATGCAGTTTGTGCTCTCAGTCCTCAGATCAATTTCTTGGGTGTTCAAAATGATTTGATATTTATCAAGCTGTGTTCAAGGGATGAGGCAAGCTTAGGGTCCCCCTACTCCTCCATCTTAACTCCTAAATATATACATTTATAAATATATATCTATACACATACACACTCCCCGTATCTTCTTTATCCATTCATCTATTTTTTTTTTTTAGATTTTATTTATTTACTAGAGAGAGAGTGAGAGAAAGCGAGGCAGACTCCCCGCTGAGCAGGGAGCCCGATGCCCCCGGGATCATGCCTGAGCCGAAGGCAGCCGCTTCACCGACTGAGCCCCCCAGGCGGCCCTATCCATTCATCTGTTGATGGACACTAGGGTTGTATCAAGTCATTTTTAAAACATCAGCTCTGTGCGAATTTGTGGCTTAAGGGCAGAAAGCTGAGTGCTCCTTGACTAAAACGGAGAATGGAGCAGCACTGCGTGCGGTGGGACTCTGAGCTGGGAGGGAGAGGCAGAGCTGTGGGTGTGAAAGTATGTGTAACCATCTGCAGATGCTACTGCTTCCAGTCTTCTCATCTGAAATATCTCCTTCAGATCTCAGAATCGAAATAGCCATCTACTGCTTTTATTAGCATGATTCAGGTATAGTTTCTAAAGTATGCTAAGTCTGAATTGTGTTTAATCCTTTGTGATCTTTTCCTGATTATCCTTTCCCCCTTTCTTTTTTTTTCTTAAGATTTTATTTATTTATTTATTTGAGAGAGAGAGAGATAGAGAAACAGCACGAGAGGGGAGAGGGTCAGAGGGAGAGGCAGGCTCCCTGCCGAGCCGGGAGCCCAATGTGGGACTCGATCCCAGGACTCCGGGACCATGACCTGAGCCGAAGGCAGTCGCTTAACCAACTGAGCCACCCAGGCGCCCTCCTTTCCCCCTTTCAAATGTTGCTGAGATCTATCTTTTTTTTCCAGTTTTGTGATATATCGTTGAGATCTCAGTTCTATCTTAATTTGGCTTCTGGAGGCTACAGTTTACCTTTGATCCTTGTTATTTTTCAGGGCTTGTGGTAGAATGCCAACAAGAACGATCACAGATTAAAAATAAAGAAATAGCTTTGCGTGTGTTGAGAGCTAGACTCTACCAGCAGATGATTGAGAAAGACAGGTGTCAGCAACAAAGTACTAGAAAACTGCAGGTAAGATTTATATAGCATAATAATACTTCTGCGGGGCCCTGGCTGGTTCAGTCAGAAGAGCATGTGATTCTTGATCTCGGGGTCATGAGTTTGAGTCCCATGTTGGGTGTAAGATTGCTTAAAATAAAAAATAATAGGGCGCCTGGGTGGCTCAGTTGGTTAAGCGACTGCCTTCGGCTCAGGTCATGATCCTGGAGTCCCGGGATCGAGTCCCGCATCGGGCTCCCTGCTCGGCGGGGAGTCTGCTTCTCCCTCTGACCCTCCCTCCTCTCATGTGCTCTCTCTCATTCTCTCTGTCTCAAATAAATAAATAAAATCTTTAAAAAATAATAATAATAATAATAATAATACCTTTGCACAAAGTCATCTTTTTTTTTTTTTAAGATTTTATTTATTTATTCATGAGAGAGAGAGAGAGGCAGAGGGAGAAGCAGACTCCCCACAGAGCAGGGAGCCCGATGCGGGACTCAGTCCCAGGACTCTGGGATCATGACCTGAGCCGAAGGCAGACGCTTAACCATCTGAGCCACCCAGGCGCCCCAAAGTCATCATTTTATGTAGAAAATGTAGCATTTGTTCTTGATCAAATGGGAATATCTTATAGCATAGGGGGGAAACAGGTTTATTTGTAAATAAGCAATAATTTCATGCACATGGACTAACTGATTATGGCTAAATTTAGACATGCCAGCTTGCAAATGAATACATGAGCTATGCATAAACTCAGAATTATTTCCCAGTTGTTTCCCTCCAGTGTTTGTATCATGACTGTTTTGAGAGGAGATTAGGTTAAAATAAAATAATTACCTGGAAATTAAGGGATTTGCAGATTTTTTATTTAAAAACCTATGCTTTTTTATTAAAACTCTGGGGTGAAAAGTAAATGGCACCGCAAAAAACTGGTAATGATGATTGTTACTGATGGGATGTGGGGGCAGGGGGTAAAAGAGAGATTTATTTCCACTATATATACCTTTTGTACTTTCCGAATTTTGTACTATATAAATGTCTAGTATTATTTATTCAAATATGTAGATAAATGCTAAGCAAAATGAATAAATGTTATTGTTTTAAGTAAACAAATTATAGGATTTTAAATCCTAAGAAATGTAAAGTTGGTCTTTGAGAGAGGTTGGAAGAGAAAGTGGAATAACTGTGCTTTTGTGTTGTTTGCAGATGGGTATGCTACACTAAATTTGGAAAACTTTGTGGCCTTTTAGGATAATGAATTATATAAACTTAACCATTAATTATTCTTTTTGCCTAGATGTCCTGATCTTCTCACACTTTTGCCCTTCTAGCTCTCCTTACCCACATTCTAACTTCCAAGTAGTAAAAGTGACAGGATTAATGGAATATTAATCCTCTGTGGTAATCCTAGATTGTTGTCTAGCATCAATCTATACATTTACAGATAGGAATGCTCATTAACAAACCATTGCTTCTTGGCACATAAGTGATAACATAAACACTAAGAACTCAGTGACATTTGAATTAATAAAAGACATTGGGATTGGGGGCGCCTGGGTGGCTCAGTCGTGTAGCGTCTGCCTTCGGCTCAGGTCATGATCTCAGGCTCCTGGGATCAAGCCCCACGTCGGGCTCCTTGCTCGGCAGGGAGTCGGCTTCTCCCTCTCCCTTTGTGCTCTCTCTCTCAAATACATAAATAAATAAAAATCTTAAAAAAAAAAAAAAGACATTGGGATTTACTTGCTGTTTGGCATTTTAGTACCAAATGTTTCACATAGTAATTTTTAAAGTAAGTAATTCAAGATTGGCCTCATGCAAATTGTGTGTGTGTGTGTCTATGTGTGTGTGTCCTCTTCAGAAATTTCTGGTTTCAAGAGCCAGAAAAGACCTCCATGCCTCCCAATTAACTTGTTCATCTGTGTGAAACTTTTTAGTAGGTATTTCTTTTTTTTTTTTTTTTTTAAGATTTTATTTATTGGGGCGCCTGGGTGGCTCAGTTGGTTAAGCGACTGCCTTCCGCTCAGGTCATGATCCTGGAGTCCCGGGATCGAGTCCCGCATCGGGCTCCCTGCTTGGCAGGGAGTCTGCTTCTCCCTCTGACCCTCCTCCCTCTCATGCTCTCTGTCTCTCATTGTCTCTCTCGCAAATAAATAAAATCTTAAAAAAAAAAAAAGATTTTATTTATTTATTTGACAGAGAGATAGGGAGAGAGGGAACACAAGCAGGGGGAATAGAAGAGGGAGAAGCAGGCCTCCCGCGGAGCAGGGAGCCCGATGCAGGGCTCGATCCCAGGACCCTGGGATCATGACCTGAGCCGAAGGCAGACGCTTAAAGACTGAGCCACCCAGGCGCCCCTTAGTAGGTATTTCTTTTTTTTTTTTTTTTATTCTTATGTTAATCCCCATACATTACAACATTAGTTTTAGATGAAGTGTTCCATGATTCATTGTTTGTGCACAACACCCAGTGCTCCATGCAGAATGTGCCCTCCTCAATACCCACCACCAGGCTAACCCATCCTCCCACCCCCCTCCCCTCTAGAACCCTGTTTGTTTTTCAGAGTCCATTGTCTCTCATGGTTCATCTACCCCTCCGATTTCCCCCGCTTCATTCTTCCCCTCCCGCTACCTTCTTCTTCTTCTTCTTTTTTTTTTTCTTAACATATATTGCATTATTTGTTTCAGAGGTACAGATCTGAGATTCAACAGTCTTGCACAATTCACAGCGCTTACCAGAGCACATACCCTCCCCAGTGTCTATCACCCAGTCCCCCCATCCCTCCCACCCCACCCCCCACTCCAACAACACTCAGTTTGTTTCCTGCGATTAAGAATTCCTCATATCAGTGAGATCATATGATACATGTCTTTCTCTTTTTGACTTATTTCACTCAACATAATACCCTCTAGTTCCATCCACGTCGTTGCAAATGGCAAGATCTCATTCCTTTTGACCCCTTAGTAGGTATTTCTAAGCTTAGTTTTTTTAGTTGAAAAAAACTATTAGTTGCAGTTGAAAAAAAATTAGTTGAAGTTTTTGCTTCAACTAATACATATAGTAGCTTTTATAAGGCAGGCATTATGCCAGGTTCTCAACCTTGGCTCCATTTATCTCCTGAAGAGCTTTGTATATGCCTCAGGCCCCAGCCCCCAGGAGTCTGACATAATTGATTTGGGTGGGAGCCTGGGCAGTAATATGGTGCTTTGGGATAGTAGTTTCCATACCTGGTTGGTTGCAGAATGGATGGCATGAGGAATGTTCTAAAAATCCATGATCCCTGCTTTGGTATATCCGAGATTAGACTTTAAAATCTTTAATTTTAAAAAATTCTCCTGATGGTCAGCCATATTTAATTCAGTTTCATATCATTTGCCTGAGGGGCTAAGAAAATAAGTTACAGAAACGTCTTTTTAGCCTTAAAAAGTGAAAGTGAGGGACGTCTGGGTGGCTCAGTCAGTTATGCATATGCCTTCGGCTCAGGTCATGTTCCCAGGGTCCTGGGATCGAGTCCTGCATTGGGCTCCCTGCTCAGCGAGAGCCTGCTTCTCCCTCTCCCTCTGCCCTTCCTCCCTCTCATGCTCTCTCACTCTCTCTAATAAATAAATAAAATCTTTTCAAAAAACTGAAACTGTTAAAATAGAAAGTCATTTATAAGTATGTTTTCCATTGTAATAAAGGTAATTATAAAGTTAAAATATGAATTACCTTTTTGTTATGGCACAGGTGGGAACAAGAGCCCAGTCAGAGAGAATTCGGACATATAATTTCACCCAGGATAGAGTCACTGACCACAGGATAGCATATGAAGTTCGTGATATTAAGGTAATATAACAATATGCTTTATGTACCTTTGCTTTTCAAAGAAAGTGTACTCAAATTTTAGAAATCTAAAACATTACCAAGTAATTTAAAATCATTAAGCCTGTTTAAGGTAGTATCCCCAAATAGGCAAACATTCATATTAGTTTGTTGGTAAGAAATGGGGTCTTAGGGGCGCCTGGGTGGCTCAGTCGTTAAGCGTCTGCCTTCGGCTCAGGTCATGATCCCAGGGTCCTGGGATCGAGCCCCACATCCGGCTCCCTGCTCTGCGGGAAGCCTGCTTCTCCCTCTCCCACTCCCCCTGCTTGTGTTCCCTCTCTTGCTGTCTCTCTCTCTCTCAAATAAATAAATAAAATCTTAAAAAAAAAAAAAGAAATGGGGTCTTAGTGCCAGTTGGAAACAGTTCTCTTTGAAGTCCAAATTCTTGCTGTGCAATCACAGTGTATTAAGGTATATTCAATATACATATATACAATGTATCAGATTCCTATTGCTTTGTAACAAATTACCAGAAACCTCTTGGCTTAAAATAATATTTATTATCTTATGGTTACAGTAGGTTAGAAATCTGGGCACAGCAGAGCTGGGTTCTCTTCCCTCGGGTCCTAAAGACCACCCACAAGTTGCTTGCTAAGTGGCCCCTCCATATACCCTCTCCCACTTTGAATTTCTTGCAGGAATGGCTCAAGCCTTTTTAAGGCTCACCTGTTTAGGTCAGGCCCACCCCGGTAATATTCCTTTTGAATGACTCAACATCAACTGATTAATATCACTGGAGTGATATTCCATCATATTCACAGCTTCTGCCTCCCCATAAGGGAGGGAATTCTGCAAGGTGTGCACACCAGGGGGCGTCCTAGAGTTCTGCCTACCACGATGAATTATTCATGAGATTTAGGAGTTATAATTATGCTGTTGGGTAAAGACCCTGTCAGCATGGTTTGAACATTAACCTAACTAAATCCCATTTGGCCAGACCATTGGCATTAATACATTAATGATGAAGCACAAGAAAATTCCCCCTTTTGTTTCCCCTGAAGGGGAAAATGAACTGGTTCTCATAAAGGATTATATACAAAAGACAAGAGGTAGATGGTTTTGATTTTTTTCCTTGATGTCATGTGATACCTAGGGCTTCTTTCACTTGATTCTGTCCCAGTCTATACTCAAAATTAAAGTCCTAATTTTACAAGGGAAATGTCTGTGTTTTTAAAATATTTAGAAATTTCTTTGTATCTTATGCCACTTCCGCTGTCTTCCTAGCAATTTAATACTGTCTCGAATAGGAACATAATAGCCTTGTCAAAAAGGAGAAAATATTTGCTAACTTCCCTTTCCTCAGGAAACACACAGTAATAACCAAACATGTTTGGCCATATTGTTCTGATTACACCATATTCTTTCAGTTGTTTTTCTGGTAGTGGTGATGGTTTTCCTTGAGACGGCTGCATTCTTATGACCGGTAATATTTTTTAGAATAGCCCTTAGGTCCCGAGTTAGTATTCAGTGTTGAAACAGAGGGAGGTTAAGTGGCTTTTATAGTTATAAAATATCTGGCTTTGACCTGAATGCTAACATGTTATTACTAACTAAACTAACATGCCAGATTCAGAAATAATTAGGGAATTATACTTGTGTGCTCTCATAATGACTAACCAGCCCATTGGAAAGAAAAAAAAGCATCCCATATTAGTGAAAGGATAAAGTTTGGAAATGTCATGAAAAAAATGTAGTAAAACATTAAAATCTGTATGAGGGACAATAAAGAGACTAGTAGGAGTGAGTAACTTAGGAAGAGAATAGTTGTAGATGAGGCAGGGAGAGCGATATGGGCCTTAACCCCGGGGACAATGGCCACAGGACAGAATGGAAGGAGTGGAGAGGGAAGAAAGTGGATGTCTGCAGGACCCAGCTCAGCTAAGCTCAGCTTTGCGCCTTTATCTTAGAGGCTGCCCTCTCCCTACTCCATTTACATAGTTCTTGATGAAGCTGCTCTGCTCTTACAGGATCATGGTCCTGACCCAAGACAATAATTGGTTTGTTTGGGGAAGAAATCAGAACAAGCCCCCACCAATGAGTTCCTTCCTAGCATTTTTAAACTGGAGACAAAGAGGGCCATTCTCTCAGATAAAACTGAAATATGTAAAATGTATAAGAGGTTAGAAGCCACATTTCCAAACCATGAAGGGAAGGCAATGTTCAGTAAGAGATGAAGCTGATATTGAAAGGAGCAAAAATAGAACTAGATGGAAAGAATCTTGATGATACTAATCCCCACATTCATCTGTTCCTGTGGCCAGCTTCACTCCCAGGGCAGTGGCAGTAGCCTTTCCATTCCTATCCTTGGGTTCTATGAGATCACCTCGTATTCTTAGTATGAGTTCTCCTGTAGGTAATTGTATTTTTACTTTTATTCATCTAGATCATATGCACAGACTACCCTGTAATATACTGTTTTATGTTTTTATTCTGCTTCTTAAAGTCCTTGTGCAAATTCCTTAACATCAGCCTATCTCCTGCCTTGTATTCCTCTCGCACTGGAAATTTCCTCTTGCCCTTTATACTTTGTTTCTGTGCCTTTCTTCACCCTCATTCTTTTGACTGAAATGCTCTGCTTGTCTCTATTTGGAGAAAACACTGTTCTGTTTTTAAGATCTAATGCAAACTTGTTCTTCCTTCCTAGACTCTTCCCTGATACTACCTTCTTCTTAAAATTAACCTTCCAGCCCTCACTTGCTTCTTTTTAAATTTCTTGCACTGATAGTGGTGCCTAGCTCTGTCACTAGATTATGAGTTTCCGAAGATTAGGAATCTCAAATCCTTCAACTTTGGTCTTTGTGTCTCTAGCACTCTGATTAATCCAATCAAACTCTAAATGTGATGTGATTATCAGTTAAGAGTGATAATCCTTTTAACATAATTTCCAAATGATGAAATCACCTTGGCAATACCATGATAATTTGAGCTCTGGGCCTGCTGATTTTATAAGCAATTCCCCATATTATGCTCAAAATGGTATAAATTTTAATTTCAAAACTTCATCATAGGGCTTTTGCTTTACTTTTAAATTTTGATTGGTTTTAATATATGCTGGTGTTTTGTGGAATACAAAGATACTAAGGCATCTTTTCTGCTACAGTTTAACTTAAAAGATGAATATATATACTTAACCTAAAATTCAACTTAAAGGGGGCACCTGGGTGGCTCAGTCGGTTAAGCCTCTGCCTCCATGGTCTTGGGGTCCTGGGATCCAGCCCCCAGTCAGGCTTCTTGCTCAGCGGGGAATCTGCTTCTCCCTCTCCTGCTCCCCCTGCTTGTTCTCTCTCTCTGTCAAATAAATGAATCTTAAAAAAAAATAAAAGTCAACTTTAAGATCATTCAAGAAAGACCAAACACAAGTTTAGTTCACACCGGGGCACCTGGTGGCGCAGTCGGTTGGGCTCCCAGCTCTTGGTTTCGGCTTGGGTCATGATCTTAGGGTCCTGGGATCGAGCCCAGCACAGAGTCTGCTCGAGACTCTTTCTCCCTCTCACTCTGCCCCTCCTCCCTGCTCTCTTTCTCTCTCTCTAAGGTAAATAAAATCTTAAACATGCCGACATCAAAACTTTAAATGTTCTGTGTTCCAGATGTTGACACAGAAATATTTCCATTAGGCCAGTGTCTAGATTTTGAACATTTCTAAAATACGAGACTGTGCTAATTCACTGTGCCCAACTCTGTTACACAGAACTTCTGTAACACAGGAAAAAAACACAGGTACTAAAAGTTATTTTAGTGACTTACAGAGAAGAACTGTAGGGAAGACTACAGGGAAGTCTAACAACACTTTTAACCCAAAGGACTTATTTTGGGGTAACCATAAGAGCATTTATTTTTCTGAACTTTTTATTTGGAAATTTTCAAGTATATATTGAGACTGGTGCAGTATACACCCTCTACCTAGATGCAGCAGTTGTTAACATTTGCCTTCTCTTCCTCTTCTACCGCCTGTGGTGTTGATGAGCCATTTGAAAGCAAGTTGTGGACCTCAAAACGCTTATCCCCTAAATATTTTGGCATAAATCTTTTTTTTTTTTTTTTTTTTGGTCACCCAGACCTTCTAGATTTTAAAACCGCCATATTTCCAATTTAAGAAGAACCAGAACTAGTATAAGCCCCTTTCGGATGAAATAAAATCAAAATTTGAAGGTTGGCATGAGAAGTGCGAGCGCGGGAATGGCCCTGGGGATGTCCAGAGGATTTGGCGAGCAGAGATTGGCAGGGAGCAGAGATTGGCAGGGAGCAGAGATTGGCAGGGAGTGGTAGGTGTGCGGGTTCAAGTGGCAGCAAACTGCCTGGGATGTTGATTGAGGCATTTTAGTCTTTTTTACCCTGGGGAAATAATGTGTTATGAATGACAAGGGTGGAATTTTCAGGACAAGAGTAAAAAACCCTTATCTCTTCTCGGGAACAAAAGAAGGGATTCAGCAAACATATCCTCCCAAAGATGGTTTGAGATCCTAGAACCCTGTTGTCAGGAACATCAAGCAAAGGAATTTAAAGAGAGATTCAGATCTCCTTTGTGTTGTTGTCTCCAGAGTTGTTGGAAAGATCCAACACCCAGAAGCTTGATTTTTAAACAAAATGCTAATGTAAACAATTAAAAGAGAGTAGAATTCCATTTACTCTTCCGGATTCACTTTTTATAAGAAGCCAATATAACCGGGGATCCTCCCAAGTAAGCAGATTGTTCATTATATTAGAGAACCACCTTAGTAATCCACTGTTGCTATTAAATAGTGACTCTAAGGAAGCAAAGTAAATACACATTTAATTCTTTGCTTTGTTTCTCCTTTATTTCTAGTAATCAGGTTTTTTTTTTTTTTTTTTTTTTTTTTTAAAGATTTTATTTATTTGACAGAGAGAGACACAGCGAGAGAAGGAACACAAGCAGGGGGAGCACGAGAGGGAGAAGCAGGCTTCCCGCTGAGCAGGGAGCCCGATGCGGGGCTCGATCCCAGGACCCTGGGATCACGACCTGAGCTGAAGGCAGACGCTTAACGACTGAGCCACCCAGGCGCCCCTAGTAATCAGGTTTTTATAATAACTCTTTTACCGGGGCGCCTGGGTGGCTCAGTCGTTGGGCGTCTGCCTTCGGCTCAGGTCGTGGTCCCAGAGTCCTGGGATCAAGCCCCGCATCGGGCTCCCTGCTCGGCGGGAAGCCTGCTTCTCCCTCTCCCACTCCCCCTGCTTGTGTTCCCTCTCTCGCTGTGTCTCTCTCTGTCAAATAAATAAATAAAATCTTTTAAATAATAATAATAATAATAATAATAATAATAATAATAATAATAATAATAATAATAACTCTTTTACCAGGAATTTTTATGTGGGGAGAAGTGTCTGGATCAGCTAATTCAGAGACTGCTTCATTCAGCAGATGAAGAAGCCATTACTGAATTTTTGGATGAAAACCTTAAATCAGCAAAATAAATGCAGATTTATTATTTATTATTATATAAATGAAAGGGACCTATCTCAAGAAGCAAGCTGTTCATAAAGTATAGCTAAAATTACACGGTATGTACAAATATATTTTTTAATGAATAAGTCACATTTCTTGACCTAAGAGCTTATAAAGTAAATCCAACTCTTCAAGCAGAAAACAAGCATGTGTTGTTGAAGAGAAATAAAGTATTGAGAATTGACTATGTGATACAAGTTTATAAACTCTGTAAACCCCTGTTTCAAGAAAAAGTATTGTTAATCATGTTAAAATTAGGTTTTAAACTGCTACTTTTAAATAAAAAATAAATAAAAATTGTGAAGAATAGGAGTCAATAACTGAGCATCTCCAGGATACAGATTGTAGAGCTCTTTGAGAGTGGAACAAATTCTATACAGTATAAACTACAAACCAGTATTTAAAGTGAACTGTCTGCTTGGCTTTTATTTCTCATTTTTCTTTGGCCTAACATGAGCATCAACAGATGAGGTGTAACATGAGTAATTCTCTACGCCTGGTTTTGTGCAGTGATGTACATAGAACCCAGTCCTTACCTTACAGAGCTTCCAGTTGAATGACAGAGCCAAAATAGAAACCACGAGCTGTAATACCAAGTGACATGATGTACTTGTTCTCAGGAAGTTTCTTGAGTAAAAAAGAAAGGGGTTATTATTTTAGACATTCCTCAGAAGGAAATTATGTGCCCAGGAAAGACTACCTAAAATAGAGTTTTAAGGGTGCCTGGGTGGCTCAGTTGGTTAAGCGACTGCCTTCGGCTCAGGTCATGATCCTGGAGTCCCGGGATCGAGTCCCACATCGGGCTCCCTGCTCAGCAGGGGGTCTGCTTCTCCCTCTGCCCTCTTCCCTCTCGTGCTCTCTGTCTCTCATTCTCTCTTTCTCAAATAAATAAATAAAATCTTAAAAAAAAAAAGATTAAAAAAAAAGTTTTAAGACCAATGGAATTAGGAGGTGAAAATAGAGGTGAAATTATTTTTCCCCAGTTTTTTATTTTGAAAATCTTCAAGCACATAGAAAAAGTTTTTAAAATAATTTTTAAGAAATAGTGCAGTGAACTACTAGGTATTTACCCAAAGGATACAAAAATAAAGATTCAAAAGGGTACATGCACCCCAGTGTTTATAGCAACATTATCAACAATAGCAAAACTATGGAAAGAGATCAAAGAATAGAGAAAGAAGATGTGGTAATATATACAATGGAATATTACTCAGCCATCAAAAAAATGAAATCCTGCCATTTGCAAAGATGTGGATGGAGATAGAGTATTATGCTAAGCGAAATAAATCAATCAGAGAAAGACAAATACCATATGATCTCACTCGTGTGAAATTTAAGAAACAAAACAGATGAACATATGGGGGTGGGAAGAGAGAGGGAAACAAACCATAAGAGACTCAATAGAGAACATTCTGAGGGTTGATGGAGGGAGGGGAGGTGGGTGAGGGATGGGTTAAATGGGTGATGGGCATTAAGGAGGGCATTTGTTATGATAAGCACTGTAAGTGATAAATCACTGAATTCCACTCCTGAAACCAATATCTCACTGTATGTTAACTAACTAGAATTTAAATAAAAATTTGAAAAGAAAAAAAAAGGAAATAGAGCCAAACCAAAAAAAAAAAAAAAGGAAAGAAATAGTGCTAATGAACAGTATATATTACCATTTTGCTACAGTTGTCTTTTGCTCTCTCCGTACATATAAACATATGTGTGGTGGTTATTGGACCATTTAAGTCAGTTGCAGACGTTGTAACTCCACACCAAAATATCTCAGCATGTCCTAAAAATAAGGACATTCTCCTACAAATCAAAACTCCATTATTACACTTAATTGTATAATAATAATTATATAATATGATCTAATATCTATCACATATTAAAATTTCTTCAGTTATCCCTAAAATGTCTTTTTTAGCTGTTTTTGTTTGTTAGTTTTATGCAATCCAGGGTCCAACCAAGATTCATACACTGTATTTGGTTGTATGTCTTTAGTGTTTGGATTAATCCCCCAGCCTTTTTTCCACTTGACGTTGAGCCAGAGGCACACCACTAAGCTGCTCTAGGATACCTGACTCTAAGAAATTGAGTAAATTAATGGTTTTTGCTGCAAATTTGGGGGTAATTTGTTATACCAAATTGTATGTAATGAATATACCCAGTGGCCTTTCATCTCATTGATTTAACATCAGTTAATGATTCCTGCTTTGCCCTGTTCCACTGGGGTTAAAAAATGGTGATGTTCTTGTTCTTTCTACATTAATAGCTGGCATTCTTTAAAGAAAGCTTTCCTTTGTTTTTCCTCTCACTTTCTCTTAAGTTGAGAGATAATTTAATCCTATTTGGATCAATATCATTATTCCCCCAGGGGTAAACATTGCCCTCTAAAATAATTGATGTTTCTGGAGAATCTGATTTAATTTGAAATAACATTCAATTAAATAGGGAGTTTCAGGGTAAGCATTAGAAACTGATTTTTATTGTCGGGTAGTTTACATAACAGAAACATCCTGGGGCGACTGGCTGGCACAGTCAGAAGAACATGAGACTCTTGATCTAGGGGTCATGAGTTTGGGCCCCACATTGGGCATAGAGATTACTTAAAAAAAAAATAAAAACATTTTTTAAAAGAAACATTTATCCAAGGAAATGTAAATTAAAATACTGCATGAATCAAGGCAAAATGAAGATAGTCTAATTTGCTATATGATGTCAAATGTGAGATCACATGTCATTTCAAATTTTTTTTTCAGAAAAAAATCAATACATAAACCTCAAAATATGATGTCTGCAAAAAATTCATTAATTTAAGAAAGTGAAAAATTGTAAGAGGGAAAGCAAGAGAAAGGGGCATTGATGTGTTCTATTCATTCATTTGATGGTCAGTATTAACATTCTATACATGGCAAGGAAGGGCAGGCTCTAAGAGGGAACGAGAACAAAAGGAAAAGTGCTTCTTCAGCCAAAGAGAGGCTCTGCCTTCCTGGAAGGAAGTCCAGAGCTTCCTACCACCACCAAGGTCTTTGCCCTTCCCTCGTTTTCCAGCTCTGGCTTTCCCTTAAAACACACACTTTATTTGGAGGGAAAAAAAATCAAAACAAAAGTTGGAACTATGAACCTATAAAAATCTTGGGTGGTGTTTTTTCTCAAACCTCTGTATAAGTACAAATCACTTGGGGATCTCGCCATAATGCAGATTTTAATTCAGAAGTTCTGGGGCCTGTTCTGCATTTCCACAATTCATTTCATTTCCACAAGCTCCCAGATGAAGGTGGATACTTCTGACTCACAAACAGCACTTGGAGTGGCAAAGATATAGGATACCTATTATTCAATGAGTACTTTCAGTTGTTATACATATTTTTGTATAATGAGTTTCAGTTAAACTTGTCATCCTACTTCATTCAGATAGACAAATTTATCTCCCAAACTACGAAGATAAAGTTGACATCTTTTAACTGTTAGTAGAAAAATGTTAGGAATCGGGGCGCCTGGGTGGCTCAGTCATTAAGCGTCATGATCCCAGGGTCCTGGGATCGAGCCCTGCATCAGGCTCCCTGCTTGGCGGGGAGCCTGCTTCTCCCTCTCCCACTCCCCCTGCTTGTGTTCCCTCTCTCGCTATATTTCTCTCTGTCAAATAAATAAAAAAAGAAAAAAATGTTAGGAATCAACCTATAAGCCAATGATAAATCAGGGTTTTTGTAAAAAATTTGAAAAGCCAAAGTTTATTGCCTCATATGCACAGCACCTTTAGAATACCAAAGAATAATAAACTTTATTTAGAAAATAAACGAGATATTTTTAATTGACTTTAAAATTTTGTCAAGGGGGCGCCTGGGTGGCTCAGTTGGTTAAGCAACTGCCTTCGGCTCAGGTCATGATCCTGGAGTCCCGGGATCGAGTCCCGCATCGGGCTCCTTGCTCAGCAGGGAGTCTGCTTCTCCCTCTGACCCTCTCCCCCTCATGCTCTCTCTGTCTCTCATTCTCTCTCTCTCAAATAAATAAATAAAATCTTAAAAAAAAAAAAACCTACCTTTAAAAAAAATAAAATAAAATTTAGTCAAGGAATCTAAGATCAACAAACTACTACAGTCAAAAAACTAAAAGAAACTATCTTTAAAAGCATCTTACTCTGCAAACTCAACACCCAAAGAACAAATAATCCAATCAAGAAATGGGCAGAAGACATGAACAGACATTTTTCCAAAGAAGACATCCAAATGCCCAACAGACACATGAAAAAGTGCTCAACATCACTTGGCATCAGGGAAATCCAAATCAAAACCTCAATGAGATACCACCTCATACCAGTCAGGATGGCTAAAATTAACAAGTCAGGAAACAACAGATGTTGGTGAGGATGTGGAGAAAGGGGAACCCTCCTATACTGCTGGTGGGAATGCAAGCTGGTGCAGCCACTCTGGAAACAGTATGGAGGTTCCTCAAAAAGTTGAAAATAGAGCTACCATATGACCCAGCAATTGCATTACCAGATACCCCAAAGATACAAATGTAGTGATCTGAAGGGGTACTGCACCCCAATGTTTATAGCAGCAATGTCCACAATAGGCAAACTATGGAAAGAGCCAAGATGTCCATCAACAGATGAATGGATAAAGAAGATGTGGTATATATATATATATACAATGGAATATTATGCAGCCATCAAAAAACCCCAGAAATCTTGCCATTTGCAACGACGTGGATGGAACTAGAGAGTATTATGCTAAGCGAAATAAGTCAATCAGAGAAAGACACGTATCATATGATCTCACTGATGTGAGGAATTCTTAATCTCAGGAAACAAACTGAGGGTTGCTGGAATGGTAGGGGTGGGAGGGATGGGGTGGCTGGGTGACGGACATTGGGGAGGGTATGTGCTATGGTGAGCACTGTGAATTGTGTAAGACTGATGAATCACAGACCTGTACCTCTGAAACAAATAATACATTATATGTTTAAAAAAAAAGAAGAAGAAGAAGATAGGAAGGGAAAAATGAAGGGGGGAAAATCGGAGGGGGAGATGAACCATGAGAGCCTATGGACTCTGAGAAACTGAGGGTTTTAGAGGGGAGGGGGCAGGGGGATGGGTTAGCCCAGTGATGGGTATTAAGGAGGGCACGTATTGCATGGAGCACTGGGTGTTATATGCAACCAATGAATCATGGAACACTACATCAAAAATTGATGTAATGTATGATGACTAACATAAATAATAAAATAATATTTTAAAAAAAGCATCTTACTCTTGTGTTAGGGGTCAATAGTGATTAGGAGGATGGGGAGGGGAGTGCTTCTGGGATGCTGGTAATGTCTTATTTCTTAACCTGAGTGGTGTTACACAGGTGTATTCATTTTGTGATAATTCATTGCATTTATGGGGTGCCTGGGTGGCTCAGTCAGTTGGGCGTTTGCCTTCAGCTCATGTCATGATCCTGGGGTCCTGGAATCAAGCCCCACTCTGGGCTCCCTGCTCAGCTCAAATAAATAAAATCTTTTTAAAAAATTCATTGCAGGGGCGCCTGGGTGGCTCAGTTGGTTAAGCAACTGCCTTCGGCTCAGGTCATGATCCTGGAGTCCCGGGATCGAGTCCCGCGTCGGGCTCCCTGCTCGGCAGGGAGTCTGCTTCTCCCTCTCCCACTCCCCATTTGTGTTCCCTCTCTCGCTGTGTCTTTCTCTGTCAAATAAATAAATAAAATCTTTAAAAAAAAAAAATTCATTGCATTGCACTACTGGGTATTTACCCCAAAGGTACAAATGTAGTGATCCGAAGGGGTACCTGCACCCCAATGTTTATAGCAGCAATGTCCACAATAGCCAAACTATGGAAAGAGCCTAGATGTCCATCAACAGATCAATGGATAAAGAAGATGTGGTATATATATACAATGGAATATTATGCAGCCATCCAAAAAAATGAAATCTTCCCATTTGCAATGATGTGGATGGAACTAGAGGGTATTATGCTAAGCAAAATAAGACGATCAGAGAAAGACAAGTATCATATGATCTCAGTGATATGAGGAATTTGAGAAACAAGACAGAGGATCATAGGGAAAGGGAGGGAAAAATGAAACAAGATGAAACCAGAGAGGGAAACAAACCATAAGAAACTCTTAATCTTGGGGTGCCTGGGTGGCTCAGTCATAAGGCGTCTGCCTTCAGCTCAGGTCATGATCCCAGGGTCCTGGGATCGGGCCCCACATCGGGCTCCCTGCTCGGCAGGAAGCCTGATTCTCCCTCTCCCACTCCCCCTGCTTGTGTTCCTGCTCTCGCTATGTCTCTCTGTCAAATAAATGAATAAAATCTTAAAAAAAGAGAGAGAGAGAGAGAGACTTAATCTCAGGAAACAAACTGAGGGTTGCTGGAGTGGTGGGGGGGTGGGAGGGATGGGGTGGCTGGGTGATAGACACTGGGGAGGGTATGTGCTATGGTGAGCACTGTGAATTGTGTAAGACTGTTGAATCACAGACCTGTACCTCTGAAACAAATAATACATTATATGTTAATAGAAAAAATTTTTTTAATTTATTGCATTTACAATTTTTATTTGCTCCCTTTTCTGTACGTGTACTATACTTCAAATTTTTAAAAAAGTTTAAAATTGTTTCAGTTTAAAACAGATTTGAAACAAGTTAGTTGCTACCAAATAATGTGGAACACAAGTCATGTCCAAGGCTGCGCACTCACTAGGCCCTCTCCACTTGAACAAGAGTGGACCCATCAAAAGCTCTTAGAGTAGCCAGTGACTCAGGGCAGTGCAAGTTATTTTGGGTATATAAATAAAAGAGTGAACAGTTTGTAGACTCTATTTAAAAATGAGAGTGAGGGGCGCCCGGGTGGCTCAGTCATTAAGCATCTGCCTTCAGCTCAGGTCATGGTCCCAGGGTCCTGGGATCGAGCCCCGCATCAGGCTCCCTGCTCAGCCGGAAGCTGCTTCTCCCTCTTCCACGCCCCCTGCTTGTGTTCCCTCTCTCACTGTGTCTTTCTCTGTCTAATAAATAAATAAAAATCTTTTTAAAAAAATAGAAATAGAAATGAGAGTGAAAAACAATACAGATGGGGCACAGGATGACAAACTAGCAGCCCCTGAGCGCACAACAGGCCTGAATTAGAGGTTGTAGAGGGAAAGGGGCTGTACTTTCGCGGGGTGGGAGGAGGTGGCAGTGGAGACTTATAAATTGCATGAAGCCTAAAGTCTGGGGAGGTGAGTGAGTGCTGTGCTTGTGTGGGCTCCTTTATGAAACAAAGTGTGTAAAAATTGCCACGAGGAACAAACAAGTGAAATACTATATTCATTACAGTGGTTGGGATGAAGGGGTTCCAGAAAGCGAGTACTCAGATGCATGGAAACCACGTGCAGAAACAGAACTTCAAGAAGTCAGACACACACACACACACAAACACACACATAAATGTCAATAAGGAGCAACATTCAGAGGGGAAGATGAGAGGGGTTGCCCCAGGAAAGAGGATGTCTGATCTGTAAGAAGAACGTTGAAGTCACCCAGAAATGGAAATGGGAGCAGTACGAGTGAGCCTCAGCCTCAGAAGAAGAAAAGGGCCAGAGTAGATCCTGCTGCTGGAAACATGAACAGAGTTGAAGTTAAAGATTTCTGAAGAACTAAAATCATGGATTGTTGGGGTGCCTGGTGGCTTGGTAGGTTAAGTGTCTGCCTTCAGCTCAGGTCATGATCTCAGGGTCCTGGGATTGAGCCCCGCATCGGGCTCCCCGCTCAACAGCGAGTCTGCTTCTCCCTCTCCCTCTGTGATCTCTCTCGCTCTCACTCACTCAAATAAATAAAAATCTTTAATAATTTTTTTTAATTAAAAAAATAAAACCATGGATTGTTAATGACTGAGGCATAATTACCAGGCAAAAACAGTTCTATCTTCCTGTCAAGAAGAATATGGATTCCATTGTAAAGGATTATGCAAATTTTAAGAAATCTTGAGGAAACAGAAAATAAGGACTATGCTAATTATTAATGAAGTTGTGGCAGGAATTTTAAAAATTGGAATGTAATGTTGGGCACTCAGCTACTCTACAAATTTGAAAGACCCCAGTGTGTGAATTCCTCAAAGATTGCCCTGAGTCACCTTTGTCCCATTTATATGGAGTGCCACATTGACTGAACTGGAGCAGTGTTGATCGATACACTCTAGAAGAAGAGATTCTTAATGACTGAATGATCTTCACAATATCCTGGCAAAGAATCTGCAACTTTTAGTGCCAGCAATTATGAAGTGGCTCCTAAGAGAAGGTATAATTTATAGTAAATTAAATGCACAGACCTTAAGAGACAGTTGAGTTTGTCAATTGCATTCGCCCGTGTAACCACCAGCCCAAGCAAGAAGAGGACATTTGCCTCACCCCTGAAACTTCCCTTGCATTCCTTTCCAGTTGATCCAGCAATCTGCCCAAACCCCTTCCCCCAACAGTGGCAGCCTCTAATACGACTTTTTCTTATATGATTTATAGTCACCATAACTTATTTTCACTATTCTGGAACTTCACATACACTGTGTACTCTTGCATATCTTGCTTCTTTAGATCAACATAAAAGTTTTTAAACCTCACACTGGCACATATCAAAGGTATCTTTTTATTTCTGAGTAGTATTACACTGTATGAATATACCAGAATTAATTTTTTTCATTCTCCTATTGATGCACATGTGGATTGTTTCCAGTTTTTGGCTATTACAGATGAAGGCACTATGAACATTCTTGCACAAGTCTTTTGCGGACATATGTTTTAATTTCCCTTGGGCAAATAAATGCTTAGGGGAAATTACTGAGTGTTTAACATCCAAAGAAACTACCAGTTTTCTAAAATAGATATATCAAATTATATTCCTATTGTTAGTATATATATGAAGGTTCCAAAGGCTCCCTATCATCACCAACATTTAGCATTTTTGACCTTTTTAAATTTAGCCATTCTCTTAGGTATGCAGTGTTTTCTCATGAATTTAATTTGCATTCATCTGAGGATGAATATGCATTGAGCAGCTTTCTCATGTTTTTAGTGACTATTGAGATAATGTATCACAAATATTTTTTTTTAAGTTTCATTTATTTAAGTAATCTCTACACCCAGTGAGGGGCTTGAACTCACAACTCCAAGATTAAGAGTCACATGCCCTTCTGACTGAGTCAGCGAGGCACCCCTACAAATATAAATAAATAAATAAACAAATAAATAAATAAATAAATAAATTGTAGACTATGGCTTGTCTTTTTATTTTTTTCATTGCCTTTTCATAGGCAAAAGCTTGTAACTTTGTTGAAGTTCATTTTATCATTTTTTTATGATTAGTATTTTTTGTATCCTGAAATGTCTGACTACCTCAGAGTCAGAGATAGCCTTCTGTATTTTCTTTTAGAAGTGTTATAGTTTTCACTTCTCTGTTTAATGTTAAGGTCCATTTAGAATTTTGTGTGTGGTATAAGCTAAGGGTCAAAGTTCTTTTTTTCTTTTTTTTTTTACATTGTGAACTGGTTGTTTAACACCATTTGTTGAACAGACTTTCCTCTTCCCGTTGAACTGCAGTGATACCAATGCTAGGTTTCTAAAATGTTAAATTCAGGGTTGCCTGGGTGACTCAGTCGTTAAGCGTCTGCCTTTGGGATCGAGCCCCGCATCAGGCACCCTGCTCAGCGGGAAGCCTGCTTCTCCTTCTCCCACTCCCCTTGCTTGTGTTCCCTCTCTCGCTGTGTCTCTGTCAAATAAATAAAATCTATTAAAAAATAAATAAGGGGCGCCTGGGTGGCTCAGTCGTTGGGCGTCTGCCTTTGGCTCAGGTCATGGTCCCAGAGTCCTGGAATCGAGTCCCACATCAGGCTCCCTGCTGGGCAGGAAGCCTGCTTCTCCCTCTCCCACTCCCCCTGCTGTGTTCCCTCTCTCGCTGTCTCTCTGTCAAATAAATAAATTTTTTTAAATCTTAAAAAAAAATAAAATGTTAAATTCAGTTCCTCAGTTGCACTAGCCACGTTTGAAGTACTCAAGAGCTACCTGTGGCTCGCAGCACAGAAAATGTTTGCAGCATCACAAAGTTCTGTAGCAGCACTGCTCTTGACCTTAGGGCACAGTGCCTGCTGAATACTTTGGATTGTGAAAAAGGTAATCTAAACCAACTAACAAAGGGCAGATATCAGGAAGTTAAAAATCAATCACTGAACTGATAGGCATTACCTAAGGTAGTCAAATTCAGAGACAGCAAGTAGAATGGTGGTTAGTAGGGGGTTGAGGGAAAGGGGAAAGGAGAGTTACTGTGAATCGGTTCTGTAATATGAAGAGCTCTGGAGATGGGTGCTGGTGATAGTTGCAAAACCAGTGAATGTAGTTAATGCCAGATAAATGTGCTCTTAAAGAATTGTTCAAAATGGTAACTACTGTGTATTTTACCAATGTAAAAAAATTGTAATTGCTTTTTCCCCAGCTGTTTTATTGAGGTAAGAAAGCAATCAGTGTTGGGCGCCTGGGTGGCTCAGTTGGTTAAGCGACTGCCTTCGGCTCAGGTCATGATCCTGGAGTCCCGGGACTCGATCCCGCATCCGGCTCCCCGCTTGGCGGGGAGTCTGCTTCTCCCTCTGACCCTCCTCCCTCTCATGCTCTCTGTCTCTCATTCTCTCTCTCGCAAATAAATAAAATCTTAAAAAAAAAAAAAAAAGAAAGCAATCAGTGTTACTAATGACCTAATAATTCTCTCAAGTGTATCTAAGGGATACCCAACAACCCTACAGAGGAGATACTAGAGCCCAGTATGTCTCTTAATGTCTTAATGTCTCTATCCTGGAGTATTTCCAATAGAAGCTCTTCAGCTAATAGGACAAGAGAGCAAAACAATTTGAGTTTATTCTCCTGCCATGTGTTATCCACCCATCAATGTAATAACTAAGATTTCATTAAGTTATGGTAACGCATGACAAGGTAGTGGCAAGAGCAACCTGCTTTTTTAAGTAAAAGTTCCCTTTTTAAAAAACGACACAAGGGGCGCCTGGGTGGCTCAGTTGGTTAAGCGACTGCCTTCGGCTCAGGTCATGATCCTGGAGTCCCGGGATCGAGTCCCGCATCGGGCTCCCTGCTCGGCGGGGAGCCTGCTTCTCCCTCTGACCCTCCCCGCTCTCATGTGCAATCTCTCTCTCTCAAATAAATAAAATCTTTAAAAATAAAAAATTAAAAACGACACAAAACCCAACCTCTAAGCACTTGATTTTGATGATTTAACTAAGAATATTGATCAATACATATATAAACACTTTTGTAAAGCATAGGTTGAACTATATTAATTCAAAATATTAGGGCATGCATGAATACGGAGCTTTGAGGATCTTGTGCTTTTGTACAAGGTCTGTGTGTTAAAACTCCCGTTTAAACTCCTTGATAAAGACAACTCTGTAATCTTCGACTGATTTGTGGAGAGGGAGTCAAATGAGCAGTGTTAGATGACACAAAAACACTCATATTAAGTGCTTATGAAAATAATCTTGCTCCCCTGGAGGAAGTATTGATTTGGTGAGACATGGAGACCCACCTGTGTAATATGCCCGATACGCTTTTTTGAGGCCAGCTATAAATGCTGTTCTCTAGGACCTCATCTTTGTCTAAGACATCCCAATGAACTTATGGATATTGTTTAGTATTGAAAATATTGTAGTAACCTTCAGAACCCTTCAAAAGAAGCAACATTAAAAACTGGAAGTTTTTTTGCAGAAATTGCTCATGGTTTCACACGTGGGTACCTCTTTTTTTTTTTTTTTTTATAAATTCTCCTCCTCCCCGCCCCAAAAAAGCTAACAAAGATTGAATCTTTATATTCTAGGCACGGTGTAAGCATGTAATTATTCTAACCAACAAATATTTATTGAAGCGCCCTGTGTCCTATGCAATGTATCTCATTCCACTCACACAATCCCATGAAAACTATTATCCCCACTTCACAAAGAGGGAAAAGTTCTCAAAGAGATGTCACACAATTAACGAATACTAAAACGGAGATTTTACCCTGGAACTTCAAGCCAATCCTCCAAACCAACAAATCCAGGAGAATTAACGCTTTCAGATTCTGTTAGCTAAAACAGTCCTCCCCCAGAAACCTCGCGATATTACTCAAACTACCACTCCCAACATGCGCAGCGGCTTGGGTCCGTCCGCTTATCCCCTTGAGTCTGGAGGGCCCCGGCATGCCTCGAGGCGCGAAAAGCAGTCTGGGAGCCGTAGTTCTCTTGGACGCCTACCGGTCTTGCCAGCGCGGCAGTGGCGGCTCTCTCGGTTCCGTCCAGCGGGTCCCGTAAACGAGCTGAGGCGGAGAAAGGGCGCGGAACTGGAAGAGGGTGAGTCAGGCACTGTCTACGCGATAAAGGGAGGCAGCACCGCGGCGCAGCTCTGAGTTGAGTAAGTGCGGCCCCTGCAGTCTATTCAGGGACGCCGCGATCTAGCGCCAGCGAGAAGAGGGCGAGGAGGAGCCAGAGCCCGGTCCTTGCACCCATTCTCGCCCTCGTACCCCGCCGCCGTCTCCACCATGCAGTCCCGGGAGGAAGCTCCGCGCTCTCGCCGCCTGGCCAGTCCCCGCGGCGGGAGGCGGCCCAAGAGAATTTCAAAGCCTTCTGTTTCAGCTTTTTTCACGGGCCCGGAGGAGCTGAAGGACACGGCTCATTCTGCAGCCCTCCTGGCACAGCTGAAGTCCTTCTACGACTCGCGGCTGTTATGTGATGTGACCATCGAGGTGGTGACGCCTGGTAGCGGGCCCGGCACCGGCCGCCTTTTTTCCTGCAACCGTAACGTGCTGGCTGCCGCGTGTCCCTACTTCAAGAGCATGTTCACCGGTGGCATGTACGAGAGCCAGCAGGCGAGTGTGACCATGCATGATGTGGATGCCGAGTCCTTCGAGGTGCTGGTCGACTACTGCTACACCGGTCGCGTGTCGCTAAGTGAGGCCAACGTGCAACGCCTTTACGCGGCCTCTGACATGTTACAGCTCGAGTACGTACGGGAAGCCTGTGCCTCCTTCCTAGCCCGCCGCCTTGACCTGGCCAACTGCACCGCCATCCTCAAGTTTGCCGACGCCTTTGACCATCACCAGCTGCGATCACAGGCCCAGTCCTTTATAGCCCACAATTTCAAGCAGCTCAGCCGAATGGGTTCAGTAAGGGAGGAGAGTCTGGCAGATCTGAGCTTGGCCCAGCTGCAGGCCGTCCTGCGTCTGGATAGTCTAGACATCGAGAGTGAGCGGACCGTGTGTCATGTGGCGGTGCAGTGGTTGGAGGCGGCTCCCAAGGAGCGGGGCCCCAGCGCTGCGGAAGTCTTCAAGTGTGTCCGCTGGACGCACTTCAGAGATGAAGATCAGGATTACCTGGAAGGGCTGTTAACCAAGCCCATTGTCAAGAAGTACTGTCTGGACCTTATTGAAGGGGCCCTGCAGATGCGCTACGGTGACAAGTTGTGCAAGTCCCTGGTGCCGAAGCCAGACAGCAGCAACAGCTCTGTTGTACCCCCAGCAGAAAATCCCCCCCAGAGACTGGGTATGTGTGCCAAGGAGATGGTGATCTTCTTTGGACATCCTAGAGATCCCTTTCTCTGCTATGACCCATACTCAGGGGACATTTACACAATGCCATCCCCTTTAACCAGCTTGGCTCACACTAAGACTATCACCTCCTCAGCTGTCTGTGTCTCTCCAGACCACGACATCTACCTGGCCGCTCAGCCCAGGAAGGACCTGTGGGTGTACAAGCCAGCCCAGAACAGCTGGCAGCAGCTTGCCGACCGCCTGCTGTGTCGGGAGGGCATGGATGTGGCCTACCTCAATGGCTACATCTACATTTTGGGTGGGCGAGACCCCATTACAGGTGTGAAACTGAAGGAGGTAGAATGCTACAGTGTCCAGAGGAACCAGTGGGCACTGGTGGCTCCTGTACCCCATTCCTTCTATTCCTTTGAACTAATAGTGGTTCAGAACTATCTTTATGCTGTGAACAGTAAGCGCATGCTCTACTATGATCCTAGCCACAATACGTGGCTGAACTGTGCTTCTCTTAAACGTAGTGACTTTCAGGAAGCCTGTGTCTTCAATGATGAGATCTATTGTATCTGTGACATCCCAGTCATGAAGGTCTATAACCCAGCCAGGGGAGAATGGAGGCGGATTAGTAATATTCCCTTGGACTCGGAGACCCACAACTACCAGATCGTCAATCATGGCCAAAAGTTGCTTCTCATCACTTCTACCACCCCTCAATGGAAAAAAAACCGGGTGACTGTTTATGAATACGATACTAGGGAAGACCAGTGGATTAATATAGGTACCATGTTAGGCCTTTTGCAGTTTGACTCTGGCTTTATTTGCCTCTGTGCTCGGGTGTATCCTTCCTGCCTGGAACCTGGACAGAGTTTCATCACTGAGGAAGATGATGCTCGGAGTGAGTCTAGTACTGAATGGGACTTAGATGGATTCAGTGAGCTGGACTCAGAGTCAGGAAGTTCAAGTTCTTTTTCTGATGATGAAGTCTGGGTGCAGGTAGCACCTCAGCGAAATGCACAGGATCAGCAGGGTTCTTTGTAAATATTTTGAAGCACTAAAATGTTTCTACTGCTATGGAATGTATCTTTAAAAGATGTCCTTTTCTTGAAAAAAAAAAATGTTGGTTAGGACTGCAGATTTGGTTTGGAAAGGGTGATGTTTGAATTACTAATGTAATGTTACAAAATTTAAACAGCCCATGAAATCAACCTATATAATAATTTACTGTGCTAAAAGTTGAGATTAAAATATGCAAAAATGAACTATATAATTAATTAGAATGCTTGGTGGTTTTTTTCATTGTTCAAGTATTGTTGCACCAGTGGATTGTTTTGGTTAGTTATACTCTTTATATTTTGATTATCTATTTTACTCTTCTTTTAACTTTTTAATTCTATTTAGTGCCACAAAGAATTTAACTTTTTAATTTTTAAAAATAGAAAATTGGACTAGAAATTGTTGGTAGGGTTTTGAAGGTTTATCTTTTCCTTCAGAATAATGAAAGTAGTAGATTTCCCAAATTTTGAGATAGCCAGTTTTTAGTATTATAAGTTAGTATAGTTTGTTAAATTTGGTTTGGTTTTCACCCCTTCTGCACAGAAAAAAATTTGGATATATATATGTGTTATAAAATGGGATTTCATTTTGATAATGTGCAGAATGGTCTTAAGAACTCACAGAAAGCAAAAAAAATCAGGATTCCACTGTTTTAAAAGAAATTTCACTTTTAATTTTGGAATATAACATGTAGTTGCTAGATGTGACCATTTTTCTATTTTAAAAAACGTCCATTCCAGTAGTGTCACCAATTATTTAAACACCCTTCTAAACTAAAAAAAAAAAAAAAGTAACTTGCTTTGTGAGATCATATATTTCATCTGTACCTGATAAATGCTTCATCGAATCAAAGGAACAATCCTTTTTTTCACTGGACATATGATTGAGTAATGTAAATTTTTATCTATTGGTCATACCTAGTCTTAAAAAGTTTATATGCTTCCCTAAAATATTTTGGCTGTATAGTTTTGGTGTTCATCTTAGAGGATTCTTCAGCAGGAAGAGATTTATTGTTTACCGTTTTTGTGAGGTAATACTGGTTTTGAAAATACATTTAAGCTAAAAAGGGTATTTCATTGAGATCAGTAGTTACTGCGTCTATCAACTATAAAATCAAGTGCCAGCAGAGAACTTTAAAACTTCAAACTGTGTATGGAACTGTTTTGTGTAGCATTGAAATGTTCTGTCAAGTGTTGTAAGTCACTGTATATGATTATCATCTCAAAGTTATTTTTGTATTAAAAGTTGATAGTTAAAGAACATAAGTGGATGATGGCATTTGGGGCCAATAGTGAACATATGTTTCCTCTAAAATATTTCCCTAGCAATGGTATACATGGTTATTTTATTAGGGTATTTGTATCTGTTCTGTATTTCTCTGTGAACCATGCTCCAGTCTTTGTTGTCTTTTTGTTTGTTTTTGTGTCACCATAAAGTAAGGGAATGTCCAGAACTAGAGACTAAATCACACAAAATTGATGTTGTTGAATACAGAGAAATAGAGGTGCTTACCTTTTGAGGGTCTGTTAATATGTAGGACTGTCACAACACATATCCATGATAAATGATGTACATACACAGATGCTTATAGTCTATAAATTTTTCTATACTGACTTAGAATCCTCTTTTTGCCTCTTTGTTCAAAATGTTAATTCCTCTTATATGTTTATTCTCTAGTGACCGAATGCTAACATTTCTTACACCACATCAGACTACTGAGGAGTGTGCCTCAGGATAGGGAACTGAATTTTGAATGAAAAAAAGAGGGAGAGAGAAAAGGATTAAAAAAAAAACAAGCACACAAATTTTGATTGGGCATCTGAAGAGTTCATAAGACATTCCTGTTTAACATTATTTCTAGTGAAATAAGAGTGTTGCTCTAGCAGTGTGTTCTTAAGAAAGTGTTCCCTCAAAACAGCAAACATGCTTTGGTGGCCTAAGGCTAACTTTTGTTCCATTTGGTATCAGGATGGTAAAAGCACTGGTCTCAACTTAGAAAGCTATTTCTTCGTAGTGTTATTTTTTGGCCAGCTTTTCTTCACCAGTAACTTCTTGTTGATAGCTTTCTGTTTTGTAAGGTTGAAATAGGACAGTGCTGATCTCAGATTATCCATCTGCAGAATTAAAGTATGCAACTGATTGATAAAAGACAAATTCTTCAGTTTACCATTTTCATCGTTTGAGTTAAGTATAAGCTAATTAACAGTAATGTGGTTTAAAAAGAAGTTTTTTGGGGAAGCCTTTGGCTTCATGATATATTTGTGAATTAGGGGATAGATGTTAACCATTATTTCATAGATAAGTGATTTGTATATGGTTAGTTACAAATAAAAATGGCACTGGAACTCAGGCCTTCTGACCTCTTAATTAGTGTTCCTGCTAAATGTATAAAACCCTTGTTTGTGCAGCGAGGGACACAACGAGCAATGTTGAATCCCTTCTTTTTTTTTTTTTTTTTTAATTTATTCCTGAAAGTCAGAGAGAGGCAGAGGCAGAGGGAGAGAAGCAGGCTCCCCGCCTAGCAGGGAGCCCGATGCGGGACTCGATCCCAGGACCCTGGGATCACAACCTGAGCCGAAGGCAGACGCTTAACCGTCTGAGCCACCCAGGCGCCCCTGAAATCCCTTCTTGACAGGAAAGCAGCTTTGTCTCAGTTTTACAATTACACCTGTTAGCAAATGCTCAATACAATATTGTTTGCAAAGCTGTTCTGTGTAGGATTTAGAAAGATCTTAATTTTTTTTTTGTATGTTTATGCCTATAGTCAAAAACTCAGAGAACCCAAATTATTTTCAATACTTATACAGTTCAAATGGTAAGTGTCGTTGGCATTTTCAGAAAGATAAAAAACTAAGTTAGCAAATAACTTGTTTAATTTGGGTTTAGGATTAAATTTAAATTATAGTTCCCTTCTGTTGTTGCAGTGTTTTTTCTGTTTTGTACCTGGATCTTATTGAGAATCTGATGAAAGCTTTTGACTTATTCCCCAGAAAAATGTATATGTTCATGTTTTTATAATTTCAAGGGTGTTATGACACTTCTGAAGATCTTCCCCACACCCAGGATAACACTTGTGACAGAGTCCCAAGAACACTTCTACAAAAAGGAATTCACCTTTTTTCACAAGGCATATTGCTCAAATGTTTGTAAGAGGGAGAAGAGCATTATTACGTCATTCCTAAAATAGAGCTAAAGAAATTACATACATTTACCATCTGAAAGGGATGTGAATATGAAGGGGTACCTCGAAACTGAGACAGAGTTGACATTTCTGCAGTTCAAATTTCTCCATGATCGACTGACACAAGACTAAATAACTAAATTTGATTTAAAGAAATGAATCAAAAGAAATTAATCAAATGAGCTAATCTATTTGAAAGCTTTGACTTGAAGAGTTATGCATATATGTTATGTATATGATTACTGTCTTGGAAGATTGTATAATGAGAATTCAAAGCAAAATACAGGTTCTAGATGTTTCAAACTGGCAACATCGCGATTGTTTATTAGACATACACCTAAGTGGCAAGAGTTCTTTATCTCATAATGACCAGGTTAACGGGTGGTTGGAAAAGGACCTTTAACCATAAGGAATCTATTTAAAATATAATCAATTTGCTACTCGCTGTTCATTAAACTAGGAACCAGTGCTTTGCCTGACGTCATTTTTGTCAATTTGTGCTGATATAAGGAAAATACATAAAACATGACAAATGAGTCGTAAACTAAAATTATTTAATTGAATTTGTTTTAACGTTCGTAAGTTGGAAATATAAAAAATTTGCAGCTCTATATCAGTCCACTAAATTTTAAAAGAAAGTTTGTCTTTGAAATCCTAAAGTGTGGTAACCAGAACGTAGACATCCCTAGTCTGCTTACATTTGAACTGTTGGAATCATTTTATGTTGTGTGCTTCTTAGGTGTTTTACTTCGCCTCTGTCCTCTCATCAGATCTCGCCCACATCTTAAACACCTTTTCATCATTACAACTAATTTTAAAAGAATATTCATTATAGCAAATATGATAAAGCAGGGAAGTATTAGGCAAAATTATTCCTAGAAAATGTGACTAGCAATCCTAAGAGAATTGATGAGCTGTTTTTAGAACCATCAAGATGGTTAAATATATACAAACCAGTTTTTTGTTTGGGGCTTATTTATTTATTTATTTATTTATTTATTTATTTATTTAACGAAGAAATAAAAATAGTGTTCACAGAAGCTGCCAAGTCTTAGAGTACCAGATAGGCAATAGAGTTTGTGCCCTTTCCCTGACTCTGGGCCATTCTGTCACCCATATCTATTCCATCAGCTGCAGTTCCTTGCTTCTTTAACCTTAATGGACTAACCATGGTCTAAGACATAGGGAGAATAAGGCATGGACATTGTTTCATACCATTTCCCCCATTTTGAGACATATTTCCTCTGTAACCATTCCTACTCTGGACAATCACCTCTCCAGTGGAACCAACCTTTTAGAGTCTCACCTCCAAAGCAATTATAGCTGATTGAAACCACCATATATTGGGAATATTGGGGGCTGGGGAGAAAACTATTCCTTAATTCTGGGGTAATTAGCAAAGAGCAATGGCCCTCACTTCAAGGCACAGTCTGGTCAGAGTCTCCATGTCCTTATGGCTTTCTTTGTGTAGAGAAGATATCGGGGTGATGTTTTCCTCTCATCTTATACATTAGTTATAATCTGTGGTTGTATGTATGTGGAGACCCTATAGTTGTTTTAATAAGATAGAAGATTCTCATATAAATCCCACAATCTGTTATGTCTCCCCTCATCTAGAAAGTCACCTGAAAACAGGCTTTCTGCTTTCCCATTCTGCTATCCCTAGAGTGTTCTGGTCCACATGGTCCAAGCTAGTTCACACTCATGTCCATGACTATATAAGGAAGGAAGGGGAAGAAGCTATAAGGAAGAGGAGAGGAAGAGGACATGACCCTTCCCTGTAAGGGAAAGTGTGTACATCACTTCCAGGCACATGACACTGGCCAGGTCTTAACCACATAGCCACACCTAACTGCAAGAGTGCCTGGGAGAGGTAGTCTTTATTCTGGGTCAACATTTATCAAGTTAAACTTCACAGGTTCCTTCTTGTAGAATGCTGAAGAAAGATATTGTATAAATAGCAATCTCTACTATACCATCAGTCAAGCTAGGTTTTATGACGTGGCAGCCAAAATGATTACCAAGACACCCAAGACCCACATCCTACCAGGTTGGAAACCCCAGTGGAAAAAGACAGTATTTTCTGATATCTCTGGCAGATAATTCCTGGAGGACCTGGGACTCTGGGTATCCACTTGTAGATGGTCACTTGTAATTGATAAAGTTGGGGGATGGGAATGTTGAGGAAGACCGATAAGGAAATAACCTCAATAAAGAGTTATAGTTCCTACGGAGACAGTAAGAGTTCCAATGATGGCATGTTCAAGTTACGGCATGTATTTTGTTTTGATCGGATCCTAGGATAGGAGGGGAGGTTTGGAATGGGAACAAGTTGGCAATGTTGGTTAGCATTAGATCTTGGAAACTTTATATGCTGTGCCAAGGAGTTGACTGTTTTTGCATACAGTGTGAATTCACTGAGAATTTTTAAGTAGGGACTTGACACAATTGGATTCATTTTCTTGAGATTCATCTTCTGAATATATTGACAGCGTAAGACTGTGGGGGCAAGAACGGTTAAAGGGATGCTGTTGCAATCCAGCGAGGTGATCCAGTCCTCAGTAGGGGCAGTAGTTGTGGGCTTGATGAGGAAGGAGCAGACATGAGAGGTTGCAGAGATCGAGCTGGACCTCTAATTGTATGTTTGGGGATGAGGGAGCTGTAGGGATCTGAGAAAGGAAGGACTATAGGCTATTTCCCAAGATTCTTGCTTGGATATTGTGTTCGTGTATAAGTCAAACTTCTGTGCCAAAGAGGCCCTAAGATAAAAGATGGAAACTTGTTTCTCTCCGTTGAGTCCAGAAGTGAGTAGTCATATGCTGGCAGGGTGGTTCTGCCCAGAAAGATTCTTCATGAGCCCAGGTTCCTGTATCATTTTCCCCCCAATTCCTAGTGAGTCATCCTCATCCCCATAGGCAAAGCACACTCACCAAAATTATATCTATGTTGCAGCCTGCAGGAAAGGGGAAAGAGAGGAAATGCAAAGAAATTCCTTTTTTAGTGGACTTTTACATAATTTTGCCATTTTTCCACTGGGGAGAATTTAATAATACCACCATATCCAGCTGCAAGGTGGACTGGGAAATAGTCATTAGAGGGGTAGCTCTGTACCCAGCTAAAACTCAGTGTTTTATTACCAAATAGACTAATAAACTAATGTAGTTTAATATAGACATGTCCAGGCTCCCTGTATTCGGATGCAAACAATTCACAACACCATGCAGGCTTTATTGCCATGATGGTCATTTCAAATCTCCCTAATCCTCCTTCCACAATAAATTCACACCCAAAAGTTAAATTCCATGTAATCCCAAATAATAATTTTCACAAACAAATGTGCCCGAGATGCCTTTAACACACACACTCTCCTCTCTCTCTCTCTCTCTCTCTCTCACACGCACGCACACACACACACACACACACACACACATATCACATCCTTGTCATTCAGTTCTGTCTCTGCCAAGACAAGTATTCCTAGAAATGGCAGAAATTAAGCCTTCAGAGTGTCAGAGTTCTCTCCCTGAAGGCCTAAGCTCTTTTCCACTCCCCTCTTTTCTGGGAACCTACTGCTGAGCCCCCTTACTCTTCCCACACCCCAACAGCTCTCACTATTACTAAGAGGAAACAGAGAAGTATGAAGAGGGGCAATTAGCTGACTCTGTCACGGTTGACTAAGTGGATAGTGCTGTCAATGCGTTTGAGAATCTAGGTGTCAGATCAGATTTGGAGACATTAGTAGATACATGTGGTGTCCCACATCACAACCACCTCTGATTTCAGCTGCAGCTATGGCAGATACTCCCAGACCATGATAACAGTCCACGTTACTTTTCTGGCTTGAGGCTTTCTCTGAAAGATCATTCTCTTGGGCAATGCTCTTGCAACAACACAGGAGTTCAAGGGGAAATGAATGACCCCAGGGCAAGAGAGGATGGGACTTGGTAGATACATGCTGCAGGACCCCAACTTTAAGAAGAGACAGCTCTGAAATGCATTCTGTATGGAACCTCAGAGGGTCCCTTGCTGGACTGAACCCCAGTCTCCCACCACAGTAATCAATTCAGCAACACCTCTTCCCTGTGTCACTTTCAGGGTATGGCCAACTGGGTCACATCGCAGAAACGATTTGGCCATTGGTGGTATTTTGCAAAGAAGTTTCCATCTGAAGGTTTGCTTGGGGGCACGAAGCCTAGAAAGAATGAATTAGAATGAGTGAGATGAAGCTTTAATTAGCCACCTGCCAAATACGGGTTTACCCACCCAGCCGCGAAAGGGCACAGGCGAGTTCAAGCCTCACAGCCCTTCCTGTAACATAAAAAACTTCATGTTTTTATAGAATATGTGCTGCCAAAAATGTTCAGCCTGAATCTAATTAAGCCATTAGAACAAACTTCCAGTTTACAGGAGAGACCGGCCAGAAGGACGAAGTAAAACCACTATGAAGAAGCAATCAGCCAAATCCAGAATGTGGGGCATTCAGCAGGACAGCTAACCCAATGTCAACAGTACTCTCTGCCCTCACATGGTAAGATGTGAGGAAGTGGAAGGGCAGGAGTGGGCTACTCTTTGGAAGGGAATAGACAGGACCTAGTGAAGGAAAGAATACCTCAGGTTGTGTTTTTGGTTGCTTTAAGTCTTCAACACTTTACTAGGCTCAGGCAAAATCCATTGAGAGAATAATGAGGAGCCTAGGCCCATAAACTCAGGGGAAGGGAGGAGATGGACCAAAGCCCAAGGGTCAGGATCATACTGGAACGCGACCCTTCTTCTTTCAAACCTGGAGGGAGAAAAGGAGGCTCATAGAGATAGAAATGAATTTCTTAATTCTTTCTTTGAATTAGGATGCAAGGTTTTCCGCTGAAAGAAAGGGAGTGGCTTGGAGGAGAGAGTGTACCTATTCACTGGTAAGCTTCATGAGTTAAACTTGACAGGTTCCTTCTCGTAGGGATAGGGTCTACTTCATCTTTACATCTCTCATAACACCAATCAAAGTGCTTTGAACAGAGTTGAAAAAAAAAAGTTTAAGACTGGAGGTGTTACTGTAAAATAGGATTGCGCATATCCCAGATCTTAACAATATAAGATATATTACTAAAATTTTTATTTTAAGAAATAGCTTGAATTTCTGTATATTGTTCTTGATCACTAGGTGATTCTAGATTTTTTGTTAATTAGAGTCATAGAATACTAGGGCCCACTTTTCTTATTTAAACCTAAAGAACTTTAGAGGTGCCTGGGTGGCTCAGTCAGTTAAGCTATCTGCCTTTGGCTCAGGTGATGATCCCAGGGTCCTGGGATTGAGTCCCTCATCTGGGTTCCCTGCTCAGTGGGAAGTCTGCTTCTCCCTCGGTCCCTCCCCCCGCCCCCTGCTCATTCTCAATCTCTCTCTCGCTTTCTCTCAAAAATAAATAAATAAATAAATAAATAAATAAATAAATAAATAAATAAATAATCTTTTAAAAAATAAAATAAAATGCACAGTATTATTTTTAGTGTTACATTATGCTTTTATTTTTAATATTGTAT